AGACTATATAAACATAATAAATCTACCGTACAAGCCCCTATAAGAAATCTATCCTCCAGTGGAAGTCACCATTTGACTGGTGTGCAGAACACACTTCCTGCATAATATGCACACTCTTATATGCACTTCAGGTGGTAGAGAATGAAACCGTAAAAAGGTGTTTTACTTAGTAACAGATTCTCTGTGCCTCTCTGAGACTGTTGACTAGCATATGTATATAGTGTCCTGATAAAGGAATTATCAAAAGGTCTAAGTGTTTATTTACACTTACTGACTAATGCAGATTCATTCCCATCATTGTTAAGGTTTCAAATAAAAAAATAGCACAATAAGAGAAATACTTGTGATAGTGTAAACAAACATAGGTGAGGCATTCCCTTAGTTACAACTAATAATAATAAATATACAAAAGGCAATAATTAAATGTGTCAAAACATTATTTGGAATTACACTACGGGGCACAAATATGGCTACTCCAGAATTTTTAAACATCCCATCCCGCCCCGCTCGCGCCCGCCGCTAAGTTAGCCTGGAATTTAAACAGCCAGCGATGGCTGTTTACATACAAGCGTTCGGGCGTCTGTAGATACGCCCTACCGCTTGTAATATGCGTGCGGGTGTGCGCCCCCCCTCCGTTGCAGCCGCTGCTGGCGATCCCGAGCCCGGGACCAGCACAGCAGCTCCGCGGCTGGAGATCAAACGGAGCTCAGTACACGAGCTCCATTTGATCTCCTCCTCCTCTGCGGAATGCAGGAAGTGATGTGTATTACATCACTTGCACATTCCTCTGTCACTCTCCGGTACAGAAATCGGAGAGAAGCTGGTGAAGCAGGTGTTTGCTTCATCAGCTTCTCTGGAGGTCCCTAGGTGACATTAGGGGTCTCAAAGACCCCTGATGTCTCCATAAAGAGGACCTGACACTGAACATTGGCTATCACAAAGGGGTCTTGTTAGTCCCCTATGTGATAGCAATAAAGCTGAGTGGAAAAAAAAAGGTTTAAAAGAATTTGAAGGGAAATCTCTCCAATGGCACACAGACAGCCAAAAAACCTGTCAGGGTTTTTTTTAGTATTTTGATCAAATAAATTATAAAATACATTTCCCTAATTACTGACTACAATCATTAACTCTATTGTATATTATAACTGGAAATAGCTGTATTTATTTTTTTGTTTATTTACATTAGATTTTGAAAAGGGTCTGCAGTTTCCCCGATTCATGAAAGAACCACCCTACCAAAATATAAAGACCCTAAATGCTGAACTGGAAGTCCTAAAGCAGGAACTGGAAGTTCAAAAACTAAAACGTCGTCTAAAAACCTCTGTTACTCACCTAGCCAAACCTCGAATGGAAAAAGTCATTCCAGTGGTAAGAAATGCTTTTTCCTTCCTTTGCCAGTGTATATTGATAATATTATGTTTGTATAGCTGTGTAATCAGACTCTATAGAAAAACTGACATCACTGAATCATTTTGCAGGAATTAAACAAACCTGACTCCCCCAATCTTGGTAAACAGTATTTAAACTTCAATCATGGTCTGGAGCCAGCACCGTATGACCCCATGTGAGTACCACATTTTTATGTTTGCTGGAATAGCATGTGTTGTATTAAGAAAACAGTTATGAATTATTACTATTACAAAATTGGAACAATATCGATTATCCTTTGAATATTATGTGAAGATAATACAGACCCAGTAGTGCATTATTAAGGGTTGAGGGGTTGCCATTGTCCCGGCCCCTATAAAGACTCAAGTCTAGAAAAGCTGATGTCAGACACACTGAAGGAATCATTGGGATCCTTGCTAGTCACACATGCTCCTTGCTTGCCCTCAGTACCTCTTCTACAGGCTAGCCACTGTATGACTAGTGCAGTCTTCCTGAGCCTGAAAATATTCCCAGAATGTCTCCTCAGCTAACACCGCAATAGTCCACAGATTAATAGTAGTACGTTTGGCAGAGAAAAGAGAGCTCCAGGCATATTTTTATCATGAGATTAAAAACAATAGCCCAAAACAGAAATTGTCCCATTTCACTCCTTACCGGAATCCCATTCGCAATGCTTTAGCAGGTGCTAAGTAGCAGCAGGTGGCGCCACACAGATCAACATGTAGAAGGATAAGCCACCAGCATGCCAGTGTACACTTTATCTTCCCGTAATTTATTAAGGTCAGATAAACATAGGGGTCTATTCACAAAGCTGCCGAGGGCAGCCGAGTGAATGACCGATCAGAAGTGAAGTGAGCCGAACACTGTTCGGCTATTCACTTCAGGCTGGTACGGCTGATATTAACAATGAGCCCCTCTTGAACATTTAACGAATTCTGCTGTTTTGCTGATACTCGCTCCATGGCTCGCGCCAACAATCATCCCACGTTCAAAGGCTGTTAAATCACATTGTTTACCCATATCTTCAGAAAAAAAATCACTTCTACTGTCGTGGTAAACAACTTGCTTCCCTATTTATAATGGTCTGGCCCTCTAGCAACTTCAGCACGAAATTATAGCTAATTTGCCTACAAACGTCAGGTGGTCATAATAATCTGGCCACTCAGTGTATATGCAATGTTTCAGAACCGTATTTGGTCTCTTTATCAGGAAAAGGAAAGAGCCTGATGAAGGGACCATATACGATTCCGAAAGGTTGCATCTATATGTGATACCATGTTTATCTGACCTTAATAATTTACGGGACGATAAAGTGGACCCTGGTGTACTGGTGGCTTATACTTCTACATGTTAAAAACAATAGCCAACGCATTTCAGGGACTGAACGGACACCTCTTCACCAGGGCTAAAAAAAATGCTATATAAAACGCTCATCACAATTGTGCATACAGAAAGTCAATCCATAATATAGTTTTGGTACTGTGAAAAAAGTGATGTGGAATGCTATTAAAGTCCAAAATGTCCCCCTGCACTCCTCACAGCGTCTCCGGCCCGAATCACAATAATGGTGTTTGCAGTGATACTCACGGATGGCGCCGTGCACATCAAACAGCACATTAACAGGAATCACCAGCACTCAGTGCAAAATATTCAAACGATAGAAAGTCTACTTAATCGGACAAATCATCATACATGTTGCAATAATTATAACCATTATATTTATAGCAACATGTATGATGATTTGTCCGATTAAATGTGGAATACTATAACATGTTTACTATACGGACACGAGAAGTTAAAAAGTGGTTTATATAAATACATAAATACTGTACAAAAATGTGATTTAAAAGGTATGATCAGGAAAGCTTATGAGATTAAATAAACAGAAAAAAATAGAAGCAGCATGTAAAAATACAGTGAGGGAAACTTATCAAAACTGGAGAAAACAGAATCTAGAGCAGCTGTACATGGCAATCAATCAGCTTCTCTCTTTCTTTTTCAAAGCTTAACTAAACAAGCTGAAGCTGATTGGTTACTATAGGCAACTGCTCCGGATTCTGTCTGCTCCAGTTTTGATAAATTCCCCTCAGCATGTCACTCTATAGTGTGTATATATA